TGCTCCTCCTCCTCGTGTCGCCTACGGCCCCGGGGGAATTCGTGTATCCCCCAGTGAATCGGAAGATGTCGCTGCGCCATTTGCACCGACGCGGGGCCTTGCGTCTTGGGGAGAGCGCCGCGGGCACCAGGGCAACCGCCGCCTCGGGCGCGGTGGGTTTGACGTGGGGTGGCTGCGGTGCCAGCCTCGCCCACTTGGGCGCGGTGCGCGGGGTTTGCCGTGGGTTTGCCGTGGTGGCGGCGTCGTCCACTTGGGCGCGTCGAGATCAAACGGCGCGGCGACATGTGTAGGGATAACGCGGAGAGGACTTGGGACGGGAGGGTGTATTGCAGCATCCTTGATGCATCCTGAGTTCGCTGGTCCTTCCTCCTCCCCCGGCTCGCTCCTCACCCAAATCGGCCATGGACCAGGATTCAGAGGCCGGCTGAATCGTAGCGGATGTCTTGTGCATTACATTCATTGTTCATGCGCAATTTGTTCGAAGCCATAATTTGTTCTCGCGTCGGCCACAGTGGCCCGATCATTTCTTCAAGCAGCGCTTGCACTTAGGACAGTTACTTGTTTCCCTCAGTAACGAGTTGGGTCTGGCGAGGATTTTCCACGTTGCCGCCTCGCTGCCGCCTCGCGCGCTGGGTGGGTCCAGCGAGGTCTCGCCACGTTGCCGCCTCGGTGTCGCCTTGTTGCCGCGTCGTGTGCTGGGTGGATCCGGCAAGGTTTCGCCACGTTGCCGCCTCGTTGACGCCTCCTTGCCGGCAGTTCCAGCGAAGTTTCGCTACGTTGCCGCCCGTTGCCGCCAGGTCTGGCGAGGTTTCGCCACACAGCTTGCACCACATAGCTTGCACCAAGTAGCTCACACATCCTCAGTGCAAGAACTTCTTATTTGGGGTCCACGGTGGCCAACTATTTTCGTGAACTGAACGCTCGGATGCATGCATGCTGGACGCACAGACACGGCGCTCAGCGACAGCAGGATTCTTGTGCGCTTTGCGGCCCAGGTCCTATGTGGACGGTTGGCCCGGACCCCGCGTCCTGCCTCAGAGAAGCGTGGCCGGTGGAGCGCCTTGCCAGCCCCACTTCTGGAAGCGCAAGGACAGCTATTTTGTTCGTTACTTGCATTTGTAGAAATGGCAGGCTTGCGCGTGTGAGAACCGTCACGATGGCACTTCTCTTTTGCATCGGCTTCGAAGATCAGTCAGGATTGCGCCAAGACGGTGCGGGTTGCCACTGTTCTTGTGAAAAGGTCCATGATGGTTGTTGGATTGCCGTGAGCTCGGCGCACGTAGATTCTGCGTAGATCTCGGCGAGCATGCCTGAGCATATCTTTGTCATTGTCCAAGGGGACGGCTGGTTTCGTCTCGCGGAAAGGTTCAGGATTGGTGATTTTGGGTGGCGGCTCGGGAGTTGGTGTACCAAGCTCCCCCTCTTCGCAGCACGCCCTGGTCACAGGATCAGCTGGTCAAACTAGGCTTCGGCAGCAAATCATGGGAGCCTTGTGTCCCCTCGTAACTCACTCAGTCTATAGAAAGCACTACCGTCGATTAGTGTTTGGTAACTGATGAGATAGCGCAGACCTAGCGTCGATTAGCGTCGATTCGACGTCGATCAGCGTGGACTCGCAGTATCCAACAAGATAGTATGGCAGGCTCCCATGAGCTGCAGCAGAACATCTGAAAGACCGGGCAGCATCGAAGAAGAAAGCGCGCCACAAACATAAACGGTTGGCGCTCCGCGCGGATTTCTTGGATCCGCGCTGGGCCCCCCTGGCGGCGCTTCCGGCGCCGCCCCTGGCGCGCTCCGCCCGCCAGGGAGGGGGGGGCCCGGCGCAGCTCCAAGAAATCCGCGCAGAGCGCCAAAGGTTTCATGGCTTTGTTTTTTCCTCCCACGGCAGCCAACATCTGCAGGATCGCGCGGGCAGGGCCGCAGACGCCCTTGCCTGGCGCAGCACGGCACGAGGGGCGCAGCAGAGGCCTGGGACACACTGCCAGGCTGCTCGGCCAGGCGGTCGTTTTCTTGTCCCTTGCTCTGCCGATCGGCGCGGGCCCCCCAACCCTCGGAGGAGGAAAGGGTACCCATACCTCTACCCCCTCGCCCGAATTTCCCCTTTATGGGCCTCCTGGGAGGCCCGCGTCGCCACCGCTGGATTCGCCTCGAAGTTCTGGTCAGAACGCACCCCAGGAGAGGTCCGGGGAGCAGCGGTATCGGTTCCGTTTGGCTTCCCCACAACCCCCCCCGTGGAGTAGGTGTTGGATGCTTTTTGGCGCCTGTTTCGAGCAGGTGGGGTCTCTCCCATATGACGTACTGGTGCAAACAGACGCAGTTAGCAGAGGTCTAGAGCCAGACCCCCCCCTTTCCGCCCAATGTCAAAACGCCGAATAAAAAGCTCACCAGAGCCGTGCGCCCGTCACAAAAGAGCGCGCCTCGAGGGCGGTCACCTGCCGCAGAATCAGCGACATGCGCCCAGTGATCGTGGGCGCCTCCATGGAAGGCTCCCTGGGGGGGGCGCGGTAGGTTCGCGTAGCCGCCGGCGTTCGACGTGGAACGCCGGCGGCGACCCAGAAGCGGGCGAGGTTCGACGATCTGACGTTTCGGAAACGGCCGATCGTTCGAGGTTGAGCGATCCCCGCGGTGTCAGGAAGCATCGCCGGGGTCGAGACGACACGAACCCGCGGTGTGGGGAGGGGCGGGGGGGCGAGCCCACGCTGGCAGGGGGTGCGCGGGGCTGCCGCGCCAGCTGAGTGGACAGGCCCCAGTGCGCGTGGACCCGTCGAAGGAGAGGCACCGCGCCGGGGGTGGGGGGGGGGAGGAGGGCTGCCCTCACTCCTCTTCCTTTCCTCCTCCTGCTCCCATCGTCGGGGTGGGGGAGGCGGACAAGAACGAGCAGGAGTCAGGCAATCGCAAACATGGATCAAGGGGGCGTGGATTAGCGACGGGTCACGCTTCCATTGGAAACCGCGGATTTCCGCCGCCGAGCGAGGCGGCACCGGCCGCATTTTGAGGAGGGCGCCTCCCCCGATCCAGGGACTTTGGCGACCGCGCGCCAAATCCATGGATCGCTAATCCATGTTTGCGCGCCCTCGGAGGAGGGTGGGGAGGGGGGCGGCCTCCCCCTGCGGACCCCGCTCTCCCCAGGCGCAGGGTGCCCCCCGAGGCCACAGGGTCTCCCAGCGCCGCGCCGCCAGCGCCGCCCCGGGCGAGGGGCAGCGGCCCCCAAGCCCACGCCTGCTTCCCAAGCAGTGGCGGAGCGCCCTGGCCAGTGGTATTAGTCGCAGGCCCGGAGGTTGAGGCCAGCACCAGTTTCGGCGGTGTGCCTCCACCGAGGGAAGAAGATCCCGATCTCGGTGATGGTGGTAATATTCTGGCTTACAAGGTGGCCGAAATCTTACCACCAACACCGAAATCTAGTATCATCTTCCCCCTGTGGAGGCACACCCTGTGTTGGTGTTGGTGCCCTCCCGGTCTCCAATATAGGCCCACCAAAGAATGTTCTAAGAACCGTTTGTGGTCTGCACGAAATGTTCTCAGAGCATTTCTGGCCGAGACTGTCTTGTTGTAACACATCGGGCTTAGGTTCTAAGAGCATTGTTTTTGTTGTTCGAGCATTTGTTTGGCGTTCCAGGATCACATCGTAGTAGGCCAATAGGAATGCCAGGGCGGTTGCTTCCTGGCCAACCTTCTGGTCTCAGTCACGCCTGAAGTGGGGCGCCCTCTGAGCACAGGTTGCGTGCAAGAGCGCCCCTCGGAAGGCCCGCAATGGAGCCCGCCCCCCCCCAACAAAAGCACGCGCTTTTATGCGTGATGATGTCTCTTCTTTGCGGGTTCCAATCGGCGTTTCGGGCGCGGAGGCTCTCCCAAGGGCCTTTGGGAGAGCCTTGGGAGGGCCCCAAGACCCGGCGAGAGAGCCCCAATGCTCCGATTTGTTAACTGCTGAAGAGGATCGCCCCAGCTGCCCCTACGCTGCTATCAGTTTCCACTGCGCCCACCCCCATCCCTCCTCCGCTGCACCTCCCCATGCCGCCCCGCGATCAACTTCTGCTGCGCCCACCCCCGTTCCTACCAACGCTACGCCTGGTCAGTTTGAGACCCGGCCTGGATCCTGACCCCTGGAGGTCACCAGAGGCCCCCCAAAGCGTCAGAAATCGCTCCCGCTTAGAATCTTCGATCAAAATCCTCCATCCTCGATCATCGTTGGCCGGCGCACGGGAACCCGACACCATCACCAAATCTCTGTTTGAAAAAACGGTAGTCTTAATTGCATACCTTGGTCCCTATCTTCGCGCTCGTGCGCCTGTTGTTAACGACCTTGCTGAGGAAAGATGCAGGACGCCGCGGGTCCTCCCCCTCTTCCATTCCAGCGACCCCCCATGAGCCCATGAGGCTAATGAACACTAATTATGAGGCCTCGCTCGTCATTGGTTGTTGGGCTCTCGGGGAGGGGCCTTGTTGGCGGGCCTGTCAAGCGATGGTGACCTTTTCTCTCCGAACTGCTTCCCCCTCCGATTTGGTGAACCAGGACGGGCTCGATCTGGCTCAAAATGCAATGCCAGAGGCAACTGAATCGGAAACTTTGTTGGTGCTGGCCTCGGCTTGCTTTCCTCCAAGCAGGAGCCGCTTGGCCCCGCCGTGCTTCTCCCTGCTGCTCCCGACCTCGGAGAGGCCAGAGGGCAACGCCCGCTAGCGAGCTGGACCTTGAGGGAGATGGCACGTCCTGGGCCTCACGGGGACCCTGGTGGAGGGTTTCTCCGAAAGACTTAGGCGACCCCTCCTCCTCCTCCTCCTCCTCCTCCTCCTCCTCCTCCTCCTCCTCCTCCGTAGCCATTTTGGCTCAAGATTTTTGTGCCCCGTGGCAGAGCACGGAGACCCCTGGTCCGGGGACTGCTAGGACCGCTGCTTTCCGCCTTCGCCGTGCCCGCGGCGTTGAGCATCTCCATATCCTTTGCTGCTGAGACGCAGCTTACATATTTCTCGCCACCAGCGCCAGCCCTGCGCACGATAGCCTCGCGATGGGTGTGCCTGGTGTTGCCAGCTCCGCCGACTCCTGGGCCGACTCCCCCGACAAGGGCAAGGGCAAGGACACCGCTGCTGCCGACCCCTGGGCCGCTGGAGCTCAGAAGCTTGCCGCGTTCGACCTCCCCGCACACCAGCGGAAGGTGCTCAACGATCTCCTCCAGACCCAGGTCGACAAAGCCGCCGCCGCCTTCGAAGCCACTTCCAAGCAAGTTGCAGCTGCCGCACAACCTGAGTTCCTGGCCAACATCACGAAGCTCACCGAACAGCTCAGCAACCGCCAGGAGTCCGCCGAGAGGGACATTACTGAACTCAAAGGCCGTGCTGACCGTGCTGAACGTCTCCAAGGCGAACTCAAGGCCAGCGTGGACGCCCTCCAACAAGCTCTTCGTCATGCCGAAGCTCTCCACCCAACCATGGATTTGGACGCCCTGGGTGCCTGGGACCGCCCACCGAATGCTGCAACCTTCTGGTGTGGGGCTGCCTCAGAATTCTCCGTCGCCTCGCTCAAGGCTGCGCTCGCCTCCTGGTTTGAAGCTGCCAACGTGGACATCAATGCGCTCCGCATCAACTCGGAGGGCCCTGCACGGAGAATTTCATTCACACTCACTGGCGGCAACTCGATTGCTCTCCCGCGAGCCCAAGCTCTACATCGCGCACTTCGTCAAGGTCGTGAATGGCGTCGCTTCCAGGTGGAATCGGACTCTGGCCTCGCTGCCCTCTACGTCTCCGCGGACAAATCGCCGCGCATGGTCCGTCAAGAAGTTCAACTCAAAAAGCTCAACAAGCTCATCACTGACAAGTTCCCCATGCTCGAGACTCGGGTTCACCGCGCTGGAGGCTTCCTGTCCATCGACGGCGCTCCCATCGTCCAGGTCACAGCTGGCGCTACTCCCGATGCAGCCACCCAAATTCGCTGGTCCGACGCTGCTGCCCCCGCTGGCATCCCTATCACCGAGCATGTGCCATTGGCTACCGCGCTGGCTGCCGCGTTCGCCAACCCACTGGAGGCAGTACGGTGGCTTTAGCATACGATGGACGCCGTGGTTCACGAAACCACACGTGGACGGCCTCAACTTGGTCTCGTGGAGCGCACAGGCGCTCAATGGCAGATCGGCGTCAAGGCGGGCCCTCAAGCGACAGCTGCTGCTCCGTTACATGCGGCAACGAGCGGTCATCGCCATCCAAGAGACGCACGGCAACAGCATCGACATGGACCTCCTGGCCGCGAGCTCCGGTCACAAGTACATCGCCTTCCACTCAGCGCTCGTGACTGACGGCCAATCCTCGGAGACCGCAGGCGGCATCGCATTCTTGGTTCCCTTTGATCGAGCTGAACTCCAACTGCCTCCTGATCAACGGCCTCTACGTTCATTTCGCGCGATCGTCCCTGGTCGCATTGGTGAACTACGCGCTCAAGACGGGACAAGACAGCACGAGACAACAATCTTCAACATTCACAACTACGACCTCAGCGGATCTGACCGTCAGCGCTTCAAAGCTGCGTGGCAAGCAGCTGCTCAACGCTCAGCCCTCCGCCCAGACAACCACGACTACTACATGATTGGTGACTTCAATATCGCCCAGACGCCGCCGAAGAGCCTGCTTCACCCAACCGCGGACTCCACCGCCGAGCGTTATCACTACCAGCCTGTCTTTTGGAAGAACATCTTCTCACAGATGATGGAAATCACAGCAAAGGCCACCGCGCACCGATGCGCGGCCAACATGACGGAAGTGACCATCGACAGGTGCTTCGCCTCGATCAACGCGTCCAACATCCCGCGCATCGAGACACTTCTTGTTGCCGATGGCCGACCGCTCGACCGAGAAGGGGAGCCCATCAGCGATCACAAGATTCTACATCTACGGCTTCGACCTCGTCAACCACGTCCAGTCAGCGAGCGCGGCAGCCCCGCCTTCCTCTTCGAATCCAAGCACTACAAGTTCCACTACAATCGCCTTGTCGAGATGGCCGACCTTTCAGCCGACCCCATCTCAAACTGGCGGACAATGAAGCACATAATGAAGACGGCGGCGCGCAAGGCTCGCGGCACCATCACCTCCGTCTCCGCCTCCGAGATTCTGCCGTTCGAGAGCCGAAATGAAGACCCACAAGTCATAGCTGAGGCACGTGCACTCACGCTACGCAGTATTGCCAGGGCCGTCTGGTACCAAGACCTCGCTCTTGCCCAGCGACTTCGAGAGGTCACCATTGCTGGGGCGCAGCACATCGACATCAGTCGCCACAAGATCTCGCTAGTCTGCCGCATCGCTTTCGAGACCGAGCACTCCGCCATGCAGCTCCAGATTGCTGAACAACGACGTCGCGCTGCTGCTGCCCGCTCGCGAGCTGCCTACGCGGACCAGCGACCCGACCTTGGCGAGCGATGGCGTCGTCATGCTCGCCGTATTGGACAGCGCAGCGAGATCTGGAAACCGTTCTCGAAGCGCTTGATTCCCGCAGGCGTCCGCATCACCGACAGCAGAGGCCCGACTGTCGTCAACGACCCCATGGACATGCACAGCGCTATTCAACCTCACTGGTCGAAGGTGTTTGCTGCTAAGCATGTTGACGCCCCAGCGATGCAGCAGTATTTGGACGCGGTCTTCCCACCGCTGCCTCTACGCCACCTGCCCCTACCTGGGATTGATGAACTCCAAGCTGCTGCTAAACTTGCCAGTGGCTCTGCTCCTGGACCTGACGGACTGCCCTATCGAGCATGGGTGCGATCAGACGGCAGCATCGAGATCCTCCACGCACTCCTCCACTCCATTGCTCACGGTGGCCCGATCTCCCACGACCTGAACTACGCGCTCATGGCCATGCGTCCCAAGGGTGATGAGCCCATGGGCAACTACGAATGCTCTCGCAGTCCTGACTGTCTACGCCCCCTCGCCAGGAAGAACAGTGACATCAAGATCATCGCCTCAGCGACGAACCGCATTCTCAGCTCCGTGGCGTCGGACACCGAGGAAGAACAACAAGGTTTTGTCAATGGCCGTCAATTTCTCTCCAACATCGTCAAGGTGGACGCTACCGCCCGTATCACCAGCGTCAACGGCGAAGCCTCCAACATGATGCCCTGCTTCGCCAGCATGGACATTGCCGCAGCGTTTCCGAGCCTCACGCACGCGTGGTTGTGGGATACTCTAAGGCGGTGGGGCATCCACGGCGTCTTTCTCAATCTCCTGCAGTGCTGCTACAACATGCCACTTGCCTTCCTCGACCTAGGTGGTACTCGTCGACCGCTACTTCTAGCAGAATCTGGGGTTGCTCAAGGATGCCCATTGAGCGGCGCGCTCTGGGCGCTGGTCTTCGACCCCATCATCAAGGGCCTCAAAATAGAGCTTACTGCTCTGGGTAGAGGCCTGCTCAGCGCCTGCGCCGACGACCTGGGTATCTTTCTGGCTGCACTGCGGGATCTTGGCGCCCTTCTACCGCACCTGCAAGCTGCGCAACATTACGCTGGACTCCGCCTCCAACCGAAGAAATGCGTCCTCGTGCCCACCTGGTCCCTGCCAACGCCCGAGATCACCGCGAGCATGCGTGCCATCCTGACCCAGCCCTACGAGCCGTGGCAAGACTTCTCCATCAACAGCTTTGCGCGCTACCTCGGCGTGTACATCGGCCCTGGCGCCTCTCTCGAACGTCAATGGCAAGGTCCTGCCAACAAGTGGTGGGAGCGCATTCAGATCCTGAGCGACTCCAGCGCTCCCATCCAGCAGTGCATCAAGATGTACAACTCCGCTGCCATCACATGCCTCTCGTACGCCGGCCAGCTCTATCCACCCTCCCCAGCATTCCTGTCCAAGGAGATTCACGGGCTCCACAAGCTGATCCGCGCTGCCCCCTCTAGCTTCTCAAAGATGGACATCCTGTCGTTCACGCTATGGGCGTCCGCCACGATCCCGCAGGGTATTGAAACGCTACTCGCAGCAACGATGTGGCGCGCCTCCACGACCACCATCTCTGGCTGTCAGCCTCTGTTTCACGCACTCCGTGCTCATGCTGAAGAACTTCCCCCGCTACGAGATGTAGTAGTTGGCAAATGGTCTGCGTCATGCTGGATTGATTCCACGTCCATCGTGCAGCGATTCGACGACATCTTTCACAACAAGCTGATCGCGACAGGCAAAGGGTCCATCTTCAAGATTCTCACGCGGTCCACAGGATCTACGGTGAACGCCGCCCAGGTACTTCAGCGAGCACATGCGCAAGCTGCTACAGCTGGACGACATGCCATCATGGCCTCTCGTCGTAACAAGGCGGAGGATCTGCATTCACACAGCCGTGACAGGGCTGGAACCAACCAGGCACCACACTGTGGCAGGGCGGGTGACCTTCACACGTCCAGTCGTGACAGGACTGGCGGACATCATCAGAGACAGGCAGGGGTCAAAGCTCCGACTGACGCTACTTCGAGTGCCACTTCACGTACCTCTCCACAACAAGCATACCTTCGGGAACTACAACGCCAGCTGTACCGCGACTACTTCCACAAGACCATCCATCACCGTCTCCGCGCCTGGCTCCCACTGCCTCCTGCTGACAGTGGAGATCGGATGGCACCTGCTACGACCGAGCAACCAGCTGGGAACGACAACCGCGACTCCATGAAATACCTGAACGAGCGTGCAGAAGCATGGGCAGCAAGATGGATTCCCAGCGTGTTATTCGGCCGCGATATGGACAACTTCAACGACTGGATGGACTGGTGCGTCCAACACGTCACAGCTGTACTACATCGCACCCAATTCAACGCGCACTTCTGCATCGATGACCAGTGCGGGTCTGCCAACGCTCGCCGTGACATGGCGACGGAGATATGTTGCAGTGCATGGCATCGAGCTGAACGCCCTCGCAATCACCGCCTGCAGATCTACTCCTCCGAGCACATGCCGACCAACACTCATCGGGAATTTGCTGATGAAGCTGCTGAACACCGCGCCCGTCGTCGCTGGATCGAACGGGAACGTGACACCAACCCGAACCTCCCGCAGGAAGCAGACGGCACTCAATCTACAACTACGGCTACATCCACGCCTCACATCCACTCGGTCAATGATATCATGATGGATGCTGATACTTCCGACCGTGATGGACTTCTTGGCCGCGCTGCTCTCCCTGCCCGCGTTGAGCGCGTCTGGCGCGACCTGAGGCCACACCTGGCGAACTCCACGGCATCGATATTCTGGCCTGTGGTCAAGACCTTGTCAGGCGCGTGGACGGCATCGCACCGCATGCACGTCGACCCCCACAAGAAGAACTGCCTATTCGGCTCCGACAAAGACTCGCAGGCCAAGAACACGGACGACATCAGCCACTACATTTCGCGCCCGCGAATGTGGGCGCTATTGGCTCAACCTCGGGGACACCCCGCTGGTGATGTCCTTACACGGCTCGGCCTCAACAAGAGCAGCAACATCGACGATCACCCGAAGCACACCATCACACGCATTGCGGTCGCCTTCCGCACATACAACATCCTGCGGGTGCGCTCCGAGCTGAGCTTGCCCGCCATCATCGACGAGCTCAAGTGCCACAAGGAGGTGGTCGCTGCCGCCAGACGCGTCCTGAGGTTGCCGCGGTGCCTCGAAGGCGGCGCGGGGCCGCTGCGCCTCTAACCCGCGGACACGCGCCCCCTTCAGCGCGTCGTTCGCTCCTCCTCCTCCTCCTCCTCCTCCTCCGCCCCCCTACGCTCGTCTCCTCCTCCTCCCCCTCCTCGTCCTCCCCCTCCTCCTCCTCCTCCTCCTCCTCCTCCCTTCCTCCTCCCCCGCCTCCTCCTCCCCCTCCTCCTCCTCTCCTCCTCCTCCTCCTCCTCCTCCTCCTCCTCCTGCTCTCTCTCCTCCTCCCTCCTCCCCTCCTCCTCCTCTCCTCCTCCTCCTCCTCCTCCTCCTCTCCTCCTCCTCCTCCTCCTCCTTCCTCCTCCTCCTCCTCCCTCCTCCTCCTCCTCCTCCTCCTCCTCCTCCTCCTCCTCCTCCTCCTCTCCTCCTCTCCTCCTCCCTCCTCCTCCTCCTCCTCCTCCTCCTCCTCCTCCTCCTCCTCCTCCTCCATCCCCTTCTCCTCGAGTCAGTCGCCCACGGCCCCGGGGGGAGCCGTGCAGGCCCTGGAAGGTGGCTCCGCGCGTGCCGCCCTGCAGGCCCCCACTGCGGCAACCCCTTGCAGGGGGCTGGGCCCCGGGCCCCCTCCGTGCTGCCGTCCTGCGCGCCGTGCCGCTCCGTGCGTTCGCCCTCCCCTCCTCGAGGGTGCTCGGGTACCAGTCTCGATGCCGGTGCACACTCAAACCATGATTACCAGGACGATGATGATGATGTTGATGCTGATGATGCTGATGATGGTGATGATGATGGTGATGATGGTGATGCTTATGATGACGCAGACGATGACGATGACAATGACGATGACGATGACGATGACGATGACGATGATGATGATGATGATGATGGTGGTGGTGGTGGTGGAGGTGGTGATGATGATGATGCTGCTGCTGATGATGCTGATGATGATGATCGGATTGATGATGATACTGGCGATGATGATGATGATGGTGGTGGTGGTGATGATGATATTGAACATGATGGTGATGGTGATGCTGGTGATGATGGTGGTGGTAGTGGTAGTGGTGATGCTGATTATGATGGCGATGGCGATGACGGCGAAGATGATGTTGACGATGGTGATGGCGATAATGATCATAATGACGATGATGGTGGTGGTGGTGGTGATGCTGATGTTGACCACGATGGCGACGACGATGATCATGATACGACGATTTTGCTGATGGTGATGGTGATGGTGATGGTGACGAACATGAATGATCAGGTTCGTGACGTTGATGGTTATGATAATACTAATGCCAAGAGAGGTGCGGCTGGCTGTTGCTGGCGATGACGACGTTGACGACGATGATTATGATGATGATGATGATGATGATGATGATGATGATGTTGATGTGGATGATGCTGACGATGATGGTGATGCAGATGAATATTATCGTGAGGAGGAGGCTGGTGAGGATCAGGAGAATGATTCTGAGGACGTTGATGCTGCTGATTATGATGCTGATGCTGATGACCAGGACGATGATGATGTTGATGCTGATGATGCTGATGATGGTGATGCTGATGGTGATGATGGTGATGCTTATGATGATGTTTATGATGATGATGATGATGATGATGATGATGATGATGATGATGATGATGATGATGATGATGATGATGATGATGATGATGATGGTGGTCGTGGTGGTGGTGATGCTGATGGCGATGTCGATGGTGGTGCTGCTGATGCTGACGATCCTCGTGACTCCCCCCCTCCCCCGCCGCCGGCCCTCCCCCGCCTGGTCGGGACGGGAGTCTCGCCGCGCCGCCCGAGGCTGGCTCCCGCTCGCGGCGGGCCTCGGCGGCGCCAGCGGCACGGCCGCGGCCGCGCAGGAGGACCCACCCAGGGGCCTCCCCTGCCTCTCTGGCTGTCCTCCCCCCCCCTGCGCCCCCCCCCCCTCTGACCCTCCCCCCCATCCTCCTCCTCCTGCTCCTCCTCCTCCTGCTCCTTCTCCTCCTGCTCCTCCTCCTCCTCCTTCTCCTCCTCCTCCTCCTCCTTGGGGCTCTCTTCGAGTCCTCCGCTTCGGCTTCGGATGCCGATGTGGACTCGGATGCCCTGATGGAGGCATGCTAGCCTACCGATGTCCGCCGATTCGACCTCTCCCAGCGAGGTTGCCGATTTCCGCTGATCCGATTCATTTCGATTTCCGATGCGACTTGTCGGTTCGAGTTTGGACTCTCCTGTCCTCCCTCGCTCTCCACCTCGGCTCTCCCCCCTCCTTGGGGGCCTCTGGGGGCCTCTCGCGAGCCTTTTTGAAGGTTCATTGAAGCCTCCTGGGGGGTTCGTGCCGTTGCGCTTGATTTGCGTTGTTGTTTGGTGGTGTGTTGTTCCGAACATCGTTTCGAATACCCGCATACTTGAGCTCAAATTGCGAACGCCTTACAATGTAGATCAATGTGGGAATCGCCCACAGAAGCTCGATGGTAAAGCAGCAGAACAGGATTCGACTTGTAACACACACACAACCACACGCACACGCACACGCACACGCGCACACGCACACGCACACACACACACACGCACACGCACACGCACACGCACACGCGTACACGCACACGCGCATACGCACACGCACACGCACACGCACACGCACACGCACACGCACACGCACACGCACACATTTACACGCACACGCACACGTACACGCACACGCACACGCACTCGCATCCGCACCCGCACCCGCACCCGCACCCGCACCCGCACCCGCACCCGCACCCGCACACACACACCCACACCCACACACACACACAGACACACACACACACACACACACACACACGCACGCACGCACGCCGCACGCACTCACGCACGCACCGACGCAGCACGCTCTCGCCCGCCGCACGCCCGCAGCCCCGCCGCACGCACCCCGCCGCACGCACGCCCGCCCGCCCGCCCGCCGCTCCGCCGCCGCCGCCCGCCCGCGCACGGCCCGCCGCAGCCGCTCCCCCCCCCACCACTCCACCCCACCCCCACCACCCCCGCCTCCCCATACCCACCACCCCCCCCACACACCCCCCCCCCCCCCCAACACACCCACCACCCACACCCCCACACACCCACCCCACCCACCCACCACCCCCACCCCACACCCTACCCCCCCCCCACCACACCCCCCCCCCACCCCCCACCCCCACCCCCCCCCCCCCCCCCTCCCCCCCCCCCCCCCCCTACCCCCCCCCACACCCCCCCACCACCCCCACACCCCCACCCACCCCCACACCCCACCCCCCCCACACCCAACACCCCCACTCTCACACACCCCCCCCCCACACCCACCCACCCCCACCCCCACACGCCCACACGCCCACACGCCCACACGCCCGCACGCCCGCACGCCCACGCGCCCACACGCCCACACGCCCACACGCCCACACGCCCACACGCCCACACGCCCACACGCCCACACGCCCACACGCCCACACGCCCACACTCCCACACGCCCACACGCCCACACGCCCACACGCCCACACGCCCACACGCCCACACGCCCACACGCCCACACGCCCACACGCCCACACGCCCACACGCCCACACGCCCACACGCCCACACGCCCACACGCCCACACGCCCACACGCCCACACGCCCACACGCCCACACGCCCACACGCCCACACGCCCACACGCCCACACGCCCACACGCCCACACGCCCACTCGCCCACACGCCCACACGCCCACACGCCCACACGCCCACACGCCCACACGCCCACACGCCCACACGCCCACACGCCCACACGCCCACACGCCCACACGCCCACACGCCCACACGCCCACACGCCCACACGCCCACACGCCCACACGCCCACACGCCCACACGCCCACACGCCCACACGCCCACACGCCCACACGCCCACACGCCCACACGCCCACACGCCCACACGCCCACACGCCCACACGCCCACACGCCCACACGCCCACACGCCCACACGCCCACACGCCCACACGCCCACACGCCCACACGCCCACACGCCCACACGCGCACACGCGCACACACGCACACGCGCACACGCGCACACGCACACACGCGCACACGCGCACACGCGCACACGCGCACACGCGCACACGCGCACACGCGCACACGCGCACACGCGCACACGCCCACACGCGCACACGCGCACACGCGCACACGCGCACACGCGCACACGCGCACACCCCGCCCGCCCGCCCGCCCGCGCGCCCGCCCCGCACGCCCGCCCGCCCGCGCCCCGCGCGCCCGCGCGCGCGCGCGCACACGCGCACGCGCAGGCGCAGGCGCACGCGCACGCGCACGCGCACGCGCACGCGCACGCGCACGCGCACACACACGCACACGCACACGCACACGCACACGCACACGCACACGCACACGCACACGCACACGCACACGCCAGGAATCAACATGCACATCCCCCACACAAGGAGTCGTAGTGTACAGCCCCACAAAGAGGATTCCATGTGGAGCGCAATCCGCACAATGGGAATCTATGCATATACCTATACGGCCCCCCTTTGGGTAATAAGGAGATTGGAGTGTGTGGGGGGAAGATCCACTTGCTAGCAAATGTGGCTGATGTGATGACGACGATGCTGGTGACGCACCCTCGAGTCAGTGACGATGCGTGATGACTATGCGCTGCGATGTAATGTCACAGTCGTCCCCGCTGTGCATCTCACAACCACTGTCACAATCAACCTCACTGTCGATCTCACTTCTGATTTCACTCTCCGTCCCATTCCAGCGATCGCATCACCGATCTCACTGGCGACTTCACTATCGATACCACGGCGGGACACCACCAGGCCGCCGCCAGCCACCGCCGACGGAGCACCAGCGGGACACCCACGGGACACCGCAGGACACCACGGTGGGACACCCCGAGCCACCGTGCGCCCACAGGGAGCGGAGTGCCGGTCCGCTGCATCCGAGTCGCCCTGGCCACGGCGGGGTCATGCTTTCCGCGCGTCCGCGCAGCGTCGCCTCGCCCGCACGCACGAAACGAACACGAGACCGACACCGATTTCCTGGTGGGGGGGGCTCTCCGTTCCACTGCGATCTCACCCCCCAGCCTCCGATGGTCTACAAAATGAACTGTGGTATGATGCAGCATCATGGCTTTTATGCGTAGTTCACATAAGAGGATACTTTGTCAATCCGCTAGAAGAGGAACCTGACTGCAAAGCCAGACATAATGATTTCAGTTTCCAGCCACCCGATGGGACTCAGTGTATGAAACCCCCGCAACAGGAGTTCGATTGCACAGCCCTGCAATAGGACCTCAAGTGCAGTTTATACAATAAGAATCAAGTGGCAAATCGCTCACACAAGGATTCCCTGTCAAAGGGCGCGGGGGAAGGTTCGGGAGGAAACCGACAATAAACAACACACCAAACTTGTTGTTGTTGGGGTTATATTTGTTTGTTTTTCCAGGGGGGTGGAAGCGGGGGGAAGAAATGAACAACACACAAAACAACATACATGTGTCACGTTTTTGTTTGTTCCCCGACCCTCCTGCGTTGGGCTTTCTGCTTGGATAGAGCACTGCGGTCGCGACCTTCTCCTCCTCTTCCTTCTCCTGCCTCCCTCCTCCTTTCCTCCCTCCTCCTCTTCTCTCCTGCCTCTTACCTCGCCCCTTCCTGGCAGCCTGCCTCCGACCTCGCCGTCATACGTGACCTCTCCATCGCTGGGGAGCTGCGAAATCCGAAATTGTGGCCATGCTGAAAAAGGGGGGGGGGACCACAGTAGGTACCAGGCCCAGATTCATGTTAGACCTCGCCATCCCTGGGGGCACCGTCCATGGGGGGCTGCGAACTGCGAAGCCGTCACCATTTTCGAGTGCCGGTGGGGGGCAGCGTGGTGGGTACCAGGCGCAGATTCAGACCAGACCTCGCCAGCCTTAGGGGGCTGCGAACTGCGAAACAGTCATCATTTTCGAGTGCAGTATGATGGGTACCAGGCTCAGATTCATGCTAGATCTCGCCAGCCTTGTGGGGTTGCGAACAGCGGAACTGTCGCCACTTTCGAGGGCAGCTTGGGGGGGAGCAAAGTGGGTACCAGCTGTACATGAAGACTCGACCTCGCCATCCCTGGGGAGCTACGAACTGCGAAACCGTCGCCACTTTGGAGGGCTGATTGGGGGCCAGCATAGTGGGTACCAGGCGCAGATTCGTATTAGACCTCGTCATCTCCGGGGACTGCGAACTGCGAAGTGGTCGCCACTTTGGAAGGCTTCTGTGGGGGGCAACATGATGGGTCTAGGCGCAGATTCAGACTAGACTTCGCCAGCGCTGGGGAGCTGCGAACAGGGGAACTGCCGCCACTTTCGAGATCTTTTAGGGGGGCAGCATCGTGGGCACCAGGCGCAGATTCAGATTCGACCTCGCCATCCCTCGGGCGTCGCGGACTGCGAAACCGTCGCCGCTTTCGAGGTATTTCGGGGGGTCCACCGACATGACGCGCTACGCAAACTCATGCCGAGGTCCTGACATCCGCGGCCTGCCAGGGCTGGACCATTCACCGCGGAGTCATTGTCGGCGCCGGGCTCAAATACAGGAATAAAATGAACGACCTTTGGCTACATCTCCATTAGATGCTGTCCAGGGCGATGACGCAAAACCTGTTGATGATACGCGCCCCCCCTCTTGGTTTCCTTGCCCGCGGGCCCCCCGCAGACTTGGCGTTTGGAAACAGGCGGAGAAGCTGGCTTCTTGCACCAACTATACTGACCTGATCTTGTGGAGCGCCAAAACGACATTGCGCGGGCCGCGCTGCATGGCTAGCGCGCCATTGACAAAAAAGTGCAACTTTTCTTCTCGTCGCGCCTCCTTCGTTGCCGCCCCAGTCCTCCT